TCTATGGACAAGAGCACCTGTAATAATGAATCATGGTCATACAGCCTCATCTAGAAACAACAGCTGAAGGAATTTAAATTAATTTGCCTTTTCCAGAGCAAATGGTACTGTGAAGCAGCTCCTTGCAGGCCAGGCATACCATGAAGGCATCCCTACAGTTTTGAATACTGTTTTAGCTTCTTCCTCATGAGTTTCAGCATCCTTGTAAATAAGAATTCTGCCAGCAAATAGCCTATCTGTATAGATAAAAATGGGGGTTTGTACAATGGATTCTGTAATGCTCTCAGCATTGTTCCCACATTCTGCTCCCATGCCAATGAGATGTGGCAAGTACTGAGAACAAACAAGATACACCCTTCTCTGTATTAGCTTTGTCTCTCTGGCAAGGAAAGCTTCCACTCAGTCAGGTAAGAACAGGCTGTGGCCTTACAGGATGGTGAACTTTAGGATGATCTCCATGTTTTTTCTTCATCTCCTCAAATTTGGATTCTTCTCGCTTCCTCTTCTCTTCATCCAGTGTTTTTAAATACTCTCTCCTCTCATGTTCCTTCATCATCTCATATTTCTTGAACTCCTCATGGCGAGTCTTATCATAGTTTTCCAGGTCACTTGTAGCCTAAAAATACAGATATATGCACACAATTATGTAACATTAAAACACTATTGTTCAGATCCATGGGCAAGGCTGGCTATATTGTCGTTCTCCTTTTAAACAGGGGCTAGACTAGTTGGGGGGTTCCTTTCACATGACAGTGATGCAAGAACATCTCTCCTCTCCTTGTTATTTTCACAGAAATTAATCTGCCAGGGTTCACTGCTAGACAATTTTTGTAATTACACAGTACTGTAAGAAGGCATCAATGTGTCGTTTCTCATCAATTAGTAATAAATTAACTCAAGGTAATGAAGTGTCATCCTAACAGTACCATTAACTCCTTGATTATTTCAGAATACTGAATACTGTAGCTTATCCTACAGTTTACTGGAAAAAGTGCCTTAATAATGGAAGTTATTTTGCAGTAGCTCAGTAGAGATTAAATAAAAAACCCACCCAATTATATCAAGACAAAGTATGTAAGGGGAGAATTTCTGACCAGAACTTATATAGAGCTTAAAGATGTGTCATTTTCACAGGCCAGGGTATTAAAGGATGTTTTGGTAGTGCTTTTCAAAATAACATGTTTACATCTGACATTGTCTCCCTGTTATTTCCACTGTAGTGTTTAAATTCACTGTACCTTTTAAAAAACAATTCCAAAGCAAAGACCCCCTAAAATGCCCATTACACCATCAACATCTTGGCTGAGAAATGAGAAGACAAACCAGTAAAATATATAATAAAAGAAAGAACTGCCCTGTTGAGGATATGTTTCTCCTAGCCAACCAGAATTTTCCCAGAAATGACATTCAGAAATGTCAAGGAAAAAATACGTCTATAAAACTAATTTTACAGAAGATGGAGATAAATTTTTCCAAGGGAAAAAAAAAAAAAATCCACAAAAATTAGAAGCTGGAAACATATCCTATGTTTCAATTTTATTTTGAAAACAACAAAACTGTAAAATTCTCATGTCAGACATGCAGTGCTCTCAAAAGCATAGCTGAGATGAAAGTCATTTTTTCCCCCTAGGAAGTGTATTTTTCTCTAGCAGCCGAAAAAAAACCATGCCATGCTTAGCTTAACTGCATCCCCTTTAATAAACAGGCACTGAAAAAACCCCACACCCCTGTGACTGATACTGAATCTGCTAAACAGACACACAATGCCATGCCCAGCATAAACAATTTCTAATATTGGTATCTTAAATTCTACTCTGCTGTGGTTTTGCAGGTAGACATATATAGAACAGATCCCAAAATTCATGTCTAGGTTAGGGATTTATGTCTTTCCAAAATAGAAATCAGAACATACACTTAAGAAAATGATACCCCTACCTAAACTGTGTTTAATTTAAAGGCTCCCAGAAAAGTGTGTTTTATTCCTGAAGTTGCTTGTACTGGCATGTGAATGCAAGTCCTGTTAATAAGCTACCCCAAAATTTATGGGCTTTTTAGTATAACACACACTCACAACAGTTTTCAAGACTGCAACGGAGACAACTGACTTTAAAAATGAAAACTGCATGTTGTTTATAAAATGTGGTATATGGGAAAGGTTTTGCCTTTACCTGAGGAAAAAAGCCTAATAATTAATACCCAACCCCCTCATAGTAGTTCATATTGGGCACTCACTGCTTTGATCAGCATATCTAAGTCTTTAGGTTCAAAGGTGTCAGGGTTCTGATGGTTCAGGTGCTCAAACTGCTTCAGGAGAGCCTGATGGTCTATGCCAGTGTCTGAAAGAACAAGGTACACATGTAAAACATAAGTCTAATATCAAGAGAGATCATTAACTTTAAGTCGTTCATGTGGGAGCTTCTGCCTTGTAAGTAACCTGAGGTTCCCTGACACTGGATAACTTTTCCACTATTGGAGGAAACTATAGCAACATTTCTAAAGTTGCTTTTCCTGAACGAGATCAGCAAACCTGATGGCAATTTGCACTACATTATTTCTGATGTGTCAGTGCTGCCTTGCATACAATATCACATGTACAAATCAAGGCTTTTGGTT